GTTAGCATCTCAGAGTGCTAAACAGTGGCGGAACCTGACATCACCGAGAGGGAGCATATAAATGAGGAAGAGGATGGGGCCAAGGATGGAGCCCTGGTGTACACGATGGGTGACTGGGTGGGGGCAGGAAAAGAAACTGAGGCAGATAAAGTGAATAGTGAGTTGGGTGAAGCACCAGAATGGGAGACATGCTGGAAGTACAAATTGAAATCGAGCAAAGCTGGATTTATAACCTTTGTGAAAAATGGCACTTGTTTTGAATCTTGCTGGCAGAGCTCGTAAATTGTTCACTTGTGAGATAAATCTGGCGATGCAACACTGCTAGGAAGACATTTTTGATTTGCAGCAAGAACGATTGTTTGGGAACAATCCTGAAACTGCTTCATCATAGCTGTGCATCTGGCCAGCTTAATCGTGCTCCAACCACCTCTCTGTGGGAGCAGTTTAGGGCTGATGTAATCTTGTTAAAGGAATTGCATTACTTGGTAGCCATCCTTTTGGGATGACCAGAGGAATCTTTATCCCAGACTGCTGCAGATCCACAAGTCATCTTCCCAAACAGCTGAAGTCTCCACTGGAGCAATGTGAAGGAAGACATTCCTAAATGCTTCTGTGTTGTCCATGATAACTCCAGAACCAAAGAACCCTGGGGCTCCTGCTGTGTCCTACAGATCCTGCAAACAGAAGAAGATAATCTTCCGATGGCCATTCTTAAAGTAAATGCTAATCCTAAAGCACTTCCTTTGGGGATAGGGTGGGAATTGAGGGGATGGGGTGTACTAATCATTGGAATTACATGAACAACAAGTAAATTAATGTACTTCATGGTGTTGCTTTCAATAGTTCAACTGATTCCCTGAGTGTTGCTGTACTGAATAGATCTGGATGGAAGGTATTCTTGGTCTTTGACCTTCAGGAGAATAATCCTCCTTGCATCCAGAAGTAGGAACCGACCTTTCATTGTTCCCACCTCTTCACCATACATTATTGCCGCTTAAAGTTCCCATGTGCTGCACCCTGGGGTATGTTACTCACCCATTGTTAACTCTGTCAGTCTTTCATTGAAATCACGAATCACATAAATGATAGAACAGGCTATGATAGTGCTTGCTCCAAAATTGGAGCAATCTCATTTAATCCCAATTACCTGCTCTTTTCCTGTACTTTTCAGTACCTTCTTCAAATACTTATCCATATTCCTTTTTAAATGGTTATGGTTTGAAATTCAGTAGCCAATTGTGGCAAAGAATTCTAATAACGCCTTTGCATTTTAAAAAAATCACCTAACCTCCCCCTTCATTTTCAGTGGTAATCTTGAGTTTATGGAATTATCGATAGGTTTGTGCTGTGGGCCAAAACTTTTAAGAAACTTGGTTTTATTGAACCCCAAACACATTTCCCACCAGACATCCACAATCAACGGATTGAGAAGATAGCATCTCATCGCAGCTGAACTAAGGGTTGAGTGTACTTCACACTGTACAACACATCACCTAGGATGAGAGACTGTAACCAAAGAAAAACTAAGTTTTGTTTATGCTCATTGAAAGCAATGTTAACATTGATATTGCTCACAAAAACATCATTCTGATTTAGACAGAACATATTAACTGAAGGGAGTTTCAATTAAAAAAAACACATGCTCTCTATCATTCCACTGAGAAAGTACAAGGAAAATAAATTAGTTCTATTATTTGAGAAATTATCAAATGGAATAAGATCATCTGAATGGGAAGATTAATTAGTATCACTGTCACCCCATAAATTAAGAAAGACAATGAGGGACAAAATATTCCAATTTGGAATGAACAATATGGTAAATTTCAAATGAAGGCCATTTGAGTGTGTTGAGCTTGTTGCACAATAATAATAATGATCCTTGCATTTGATATAACACCTTATCACGTCATTGAGATGTCTCAAAGCTCTTCACAGAATATATTGTACAGTATCAATTGCGCACAGCAGTGACTCACAAACTTTTGTGCATTGAATGTGGAGTGGAGGGATACCAGTCTGAATTTTTCGTCTATCTTTGCTCAATTTCTCCTCTGATCTCAGTTTGTAGTGGGCCAGTGGAACGTCAGTATAAGCTAGTAGATTGTCCAACCTTCACAAACGTTTGCCTGAGGTTGGCAGTGAGATCCGATTGAGGCAGAGGGAGAAAATTAAACCTAAGAAATTAGATTATATGCGTTCTCACTAGTAGGACAACCGAGAAAGCTTTTGATGGATGAGAAGTGTGATACGTTACAATAGAATTTGTAATAAGTTAAAAGCAAATGTTTCTCAGTAAGATGGGAAATTATGATTTTCTATATAGTAATAGATAAATGGAGTTGATGGGGCCCTTCAATTAATGGAAATCTACCTCCATTGCCTCAGAAGAATCACAACAGTAGTTCAGATAAGGAAGATCCTCCAGCCCAGCTGGTCTCATCCCTCCAGAACACCTGGCCTAATGTTCTCCCATCATAGCATCAAACTGTCTGTTAAAATTAGTTCAGTGTTCAGGTCTGAACCAGGCAACTTCCTGGCAACCTGTTCCAGCCCTTAATTACCCTCTGGGTACGGAAGAACTTCTTGGTGTTTGTCCTGAAATTCTAAACTTATGTCCTCTTATTCTATTCTCTCGGTGCATCCGAAAGAATTGGATTTACTTGTTCAATCCCATTTGAAATATTTATACACCTCTATAACCTCTCAACTCAGATGTCTTCAGATGTTTCATTGAGGGAGGAAAGAGAACCTCTCTTTGTAGTTTTCTGCTTCCAGTAGCTGAGAACCTGTGTCTAATGTGAGCAAAAACTGATTAGGAATTCAGTTGGATTTTAATTTTACTTGAAACAAAAATGAGCTCAGAAGTGGTAAATTATGAAAAACTTTGGAAGAGTGTTCCCCTGGGAATTGGAGGAACTCAAATATTTTCTAACTCAATTAATTTTAAAAATCCCGTTCATATGACTGAGTTCTGAACGCACTATATATTAATATATAAGTCCATAAGAATTGATTTACATTAGTTCAAACTGTTGTGATGCCCTTTCATATTCACAAAGGATTTTCATTGCAGCTCTTAATCATTTAACCTTTCAGCTTGAACTTCTGCTGGTTCAATATATTATACAGGACAGGTGAGCTTGTAATAATAATAATAAATAATAATAATCCTTGCATTTGATATAGTGCTTTTCACGTCTTCTAGATGTCTCAAAGCGCTTCACAGAATAGACTGCAAAATGAATTGACTATTTGTGGGCAAAATGCGGCAGCAGATTGCGCACAGCAGCATCCCACGAACAGTCATGGATTGAACTGACCGAATTATTATTGTTTTTTTTCTTGAGGGATTATTGTCAACAATATTGATTATTGTGGAGTAAGGAAACTTGCCCAAGGTTTTGCCCTGCCGGGAAAGGCTTTTTTGTGTGACACAAATGGTTTTCTGTGACTTGTTGGTGATATTTTGTTCATCAAGGTCTAGTTGATTGGTTGGTGAATTTAGGAACGATGCTGTCAGAGTGATGGTCAGTTGTTTCTCTGTAAGTGTTTGTAAGAAAGCTCTCAGTGAGCTAGTTGAGTTTCTTACGGCCTGAATTGTGAAGTACATTACTCACTGCGTGGGCATTTGGTTCTTACTTGTCTTACTTACCTGCCTGTCCGACATCGAGTCCTGGACGAGAGACAACTTTCTTCAGCTCAACGTGCGAAAAACCGAGGCCCTCCTGATTGGCTCACGTCAGCGCCTCCGCACCTCAGGCGCTGACACCATCAGCATCCAAGGCTGCACTCTCCACCTCTCAAAGCCAGTCAGGAACCTCGGCGTTTTGTTCGACCCTGAGCTGTCCTTTCTCCCTCACATCCGCACCACAACTGGCACCGCCTTCCACCACCTCCGGAACATCGCCAGACTACGGCACTACCTCACCCCTCACGCTGCTGAAACCCTGGTTCACGCCTTTGTCACCTCAAGGCTGGACTATGGGAACTCTCTCCTCGCCGGCCTTCCCGCCACCTCCCTCCACAAGCTGCAGGTCATTCAGAACTCTGCAGCTCGTGTACTGTCCCGCACCAGGCTTCGGGACCACATCACTCCCACCCTCGCTCGCCTCCACTGGCTCCCCATCCCCCAGAGGATTGATTTCAAGATCCTCATCCTCACCTACAAGGCCATTCACGGCCTTGCTCCCTCCTACCTCTCCAACCTACTATCCCCCTACCTACCTGCCCGTACCCTCCGTTCCTCTGGCTCCGGTCTGCTCCACGTCCCCCGCCCCAACCGCCCTACCATCGGTGGTCGGGCCTTCAGCCTCTCAGCCCCCAGGCTCTGGAACTCCATCCCCCAGTGCCTTCGCCTTGCTTCCTCCCTTTCCTCCTTCAAGGCCGGTCTCAAAACCTTTCTCTTTGACCGTGCCTTCAGCTCCCCTCTCGACTCTCTTCCCCCTCCTCGCTCCCTCCCTTCCCTCCCCTCACCCTGACCATTTCCCCCCTCCTCGCCCCCTCCCTTCCCTCCCCTCACCCTGACCATTCCCCCCCCTGCTCGGGTCATGACCCAACTGTGCAGCGCCTTGGGACGTCCTCCTGACGTGAAAGGCGCTTTATAAATGGAATCTTGTTGTTGTCTTGTTGTCTTGTTACTTGATGTTGAAACATGAATGGATTTTGTACAGAGCAAATTTGTGAAGTGCACTATACTAGTGTCAGTTATGCTATTGTATATGATACATTACAGTGTTTGATGTCCTTTACAGGACAGCATGTATTGTAGGATCTTAGAATTACATTGGTGGATGTTAGTGCACATAGTGTCATGAATGAACATTTCACAAAATTGTGTGTAAGCGAGTTGGGCTCATCCAAAGAATAATTTGTGGTCTCATGCACAAAATAGTATAGATTACAGAGTTCAGCGGAACTGAATTTGAATTTGTGTGTTCAATGTGTGCCTTTGATTAATACAGTAGTTTTGATTCTAGTTGTCCATATTTGTTTCTTCTCAGGCGACTCAACAAGAATAAGCTGCAGATCCTCCCCGAGCTGCTGTTCCAAGGGACTCCAAAACTCTCCCGACTGTAAGTAATACAAGGATCATTGCTTTTCATTGCTTCATTGCTTTCAATCTATGTTTTTTGCAGCAGTACATGTCATGCGTTTTAGTTACCAAATTTTTTGGTGTGACACAAATAGTTTTCTGTGCCTTGTTGGTGATATTTTGTTCATCAAGGTCTAGTTGATTGGTTGGTGAACTTAGGAACGATGCTGTCAGAGTGATGGTCAGTTGTTTCGCTGTAAGTGTTTGTAAGAAAGCTCTGTGAGCTAGTTGAGTTTCTTACGGCCTGAATTGTGAAGTACATTACTCACTGCGTGGGCATTTGGTTCTTACTTGATGTTGAAACATGAATGGATTTTGCCCATTTGTAGAGTTCCACCTGTACAACAGTGTTTGGTGGCTATTGAGATGACTTTTTTTTTTATCTCCCACCCTTTGGCGATGACTCTTAAAGATGGGAGAAATGATAACAAATCACAATTGTGCGTAAATGAGATTTTGTGCAAATTCTTCTTTACCGTATCTCTTGTGCACTGCTCACAAGTTGGCACGTGTGACATTTTAAAAATATTTATTCTCCCCATTATTGGTATGCTTTTGAGTCACATGCTTTTGCGACTGAGTGGACAGGCTGCTTGATCTGTTTTGAAAGAAGGGTTGCGATACAGATGTTATCAATGGGAAGACAAAGACATTTAAGTTTTAGATCATGCCATTATGCAAATGCAAGGATTATTACTGTAATTAAAGAGTTGGTTTCTTACTTGTGGAAGTGCTTATGGTTAGAATAGTTTGACTGAGTCAGTTAAGTAGTCAGAGGACATTTTTATGCAGTGAGGAGCATAACCTAGCAATATGTGGTGCTCTGTGTGATAAGATTTAGTTATGTGATGTCAGCGTGGATCATAATAATAATCCTTGCGTTTGATGGCGCACTTTACACATCAGGAAGACATCTCAAAGTGCTTTACTGGATATGCTGTAAACTGTAGTGACTGTGTGTTTGTAAGCAAATGTGGCAGCAATACTCTACAAACAGCTGTGAAGCGAAATACCAATTTTATCAGTGGGAGATCAGGCAAGTTCATCACCCTTTGATGTTGATCAAAACCACAAGAAACCATGGTGTGATGTGGGATGTCTCCTTGAAAATAATAATAACAACAAATTCATTTGTATAGTGCCTTTCATTTCGGGAGGGCGTCCCAAAATGTGACAAGACAGACTCCAAAGAGTGCGATGGTGACCATTACCCTGACAATACTGCACACATTGTTTGAAAACTTTAATAAATAACATCAAAAGCTTTTTTTTAAAAAGTGGTCTTGGTGCAGATCCAGATATTAAAAACGTCCATCAATACACCTCCTGGAAGGAGACTGGAGTAACCACATGTTGCTGACGCATGTTTCATCTTGAAGTAATGTCTGAGAAATAAAGGTGTTTGGAAATAGTGATTTGTGATCTATTTAGATTACTTTGTCAGAAATCTTTCTCTTCCCACATCCCCACCCCATCTTTAAGAACAAAATCAGCTGCTGAAGGATCAGATAGACTGATCATCTATAAATATCTGGGTCTGTTTAAAAATTAGAGCTTGCTAGATCTCATCTGTGTCAGAATAAATCTAGTTGATAGGCCATTCTTGGAGATTCATCCCTTGAGTATTTGGTCCCTGGGTATCATTACTCTATTATTTTGCTGGATAATTTACTCCAACCAAACCTCGAGGCCTTCATTTGATTAATCACCTAAATGCAAGTTCAGTCATTGATCAGAAGTCTGGAATAGTTATGGGCTTGTTGATGGGCTGGCATTTGGTTTACATTTTGTCTGACTATTTCCTTTCTTTCTCTTTTCATGGGTCAGAAGGAGAGGTGGGGGGAGGGAAGGTAAAACTCTCCAAAGTCAGGAGCATAATCTAGATACATAGATGGAAAGGAGTACAGAATAGCCCAGAAACCTATTAAGTGACTTCGGGATATATATATTGTATATATATCTCCCTAACGATATAGATAGGTACACGTCTCTCCTATTTAGGCCCTTCCTAGGGTAAGAGCAAAAACAGCACCCCTCGCTGCCAAAGATGGCTAGCTAGTGAGGGAAAAGATTTACTCTTATGATACTCTTTTCAAAATTACTGGTGTGGACTCGATGGGCCACATTGCTTCATTCTGCGCTGTAGATTTCTATGTTTCAATACACTGGCCACAAAATCCAGCCTTGCTACCAGATATTACTGTTGAGTTCCGGTTGGAGTCAAAGTCATTGTTTCCCTCCAAGGGCCTGAGTTCTTTCCAAGGGCCTGTATTCAACTCCAGAGGCCAGACCGAAGATCTCAAAACAAAAGGGTGAAAAGATGGGGCTGCTCCAAAATAGAGTGAAGGGAGTTGGTGTTATTGCTTGGCTGGTGATTAGCCAAGGTTCTGTTTCTGGCCTCAGACCACAGCACAATGAACCTGGCCACTCAATTGTCTTTGATATCAGGCTTGGGGAAGAGTGTGGTTCTGTTTTAAAGTTTCATAAAGACATAGCTAAAGACTCATTTGCACAGATAATAATAATAATAATAATCCTTGCATTTGATATAGCGCTTTTCACGTCAGGAGGATGTCCCAAAGCGCTTCACAGAACACACTGTAAAGTGAATTGACTGTATATTTGTGGGCGAACGCGGCAGCCAATTGCGCACAGCGATGTCCCACAAATAGTCGTGATTGAAAATGAACAATTTATTATTGTTTTTGGTTTTGGAGGGATTATTATTAGGCTCTGTGTGGAGTAAGGAAACTTGCCCAAGGTTTCGCCCTCTGCCGGGAATTGAACTCAGGCCTCTCACTTGCAAAGCGAGTGCTCTAACCACTGAGCTACAGGACTCCACAATATACAGTACACCCATACACACAGCCCACACTTGTTCTCTCTTTGTTGTGTTTTGATCCACCGAAACTGACTTTATCCATGTAGGAGGTTGGGTGGCCAGGGGTAGCTTTTCCAGATTTTTAAATAATTCAGAATTCAATATGTTTATGTGTGTCTGTGTGTGTGTTGGGAGGGGAGTGGGGGAGCTCAGTGAGATTGTTATACATTAGAAAAACAGTTCTTTTGAAAACCGTAGCAATCAACTTGTGTTTTTGGAAGTTGTGAGGTTTGCGTTTGGAAGTGCAGGTCAACCCCGAGTGCAAAGTGCCACTTGGGAAGCAGCCAAGCTCCTAACAAGCTCCCATTAACTGCAACTGCACAGATTGTAAGCTCACTGTGCAGACTGTGTCAGCGCCTACTGAAGCTCCACGTCTGCTTCCAATTTTCCTCAAGATGTTCGAACTGCATTACTTCCTTCTCTCTAGGAATAAGCCAATCTTTGGCTCTAATGGCATATTGGATTTCCATGTGAGAGAGGCTGGCTCATATCATGGATGTGGAGAAAGGCTGAAGAAGGTGGATAAATGCATCCAAGTTCCCAGGAAAATGTGCATTCAGTCCTTTAAGATTCTTCCCACCACCTTGCCTTGCTCTCCATCGCTCTTGACTCCAGCCTACAGCTCGGGTGCAAACTGGTGACTGTCCAATGCCTTGACACATCATCCCATTATGAAAGGCACAATATAAATGCAAGCTGTTGATGTTGTCAGATTGGCTTTCTCAAATAACCAAATACATGTATTTTAGAGAAATCTGTGGGTGTATCTCATACATGTGCCTAGATTGGCAGCGAGAAAGTGGTTAGAATAGAATTGGCATCTACTGGCATGTTTCACACACGCTATATACACGCACGCATCAATTTCAAACAGCTTCCGGCAGAGCATCAGGGTCCCGCTAACACTGCTCCCATTGGAATTGGAACAAAATTGACTGATCTCAAAGTGATGGGGGCAGAGGCATGACTGGTTCAAATCCCTAGAAATCATCCTCAAGCTATATAAAGCCCTGGTCAGGCTGTACATTAAGTATTGCATACAGTTTCGGTTCCTCTGACATGAGGGAGCTGCCCAGCTGTAGGGAGAAGCAATGGGGATGATCCCTGATGTCAGAGGGGGCAATGATTAGACAAGCTAGGGTTCTTCAGTCTTGAAAGGAAATGTCTCAGAGGTGATCTAATGGAGGTGTAGATATTTTTTTAAACAGAATTTATAAACGCAGAACAATATTTTTGGAAGCACCAAGACAACAGAAGAGGACATGGGTTTAGAGTTGCAGAAGGCAATTTCAGGACAGACACCAGCAAGTATTGCTTTATTCAGAGAGTAGTTAATTTATTTACTCAGAGGGTAGGGAACACGGTACCAGGAAGGGTAGTTGAGGCCAGGACACTGGACTCATTTTTAAAAAAAACAGCTTGATGCCCTGATGGAAGGACAGCAGAATGGGTATTCTGGAGGGATGAGATCAAATAGGCTGAATCAGTCTTGTGATCTTGTGATTCCCAGTGTCAAACCTCTTTGTTGTAAAATGAACTTGTATGTAAACATTGGCTGTCGCCTGTGACGTCTGTAGCTGGTATTCTTATTCCTGAGTATCTGCTTCTTTGGACCCTATGATAGGATAATCTGATGCAACAGATTGCACCAAAGCTTCTCTTGGTATTTCTATAGTAAATATTGTATTTTCATTTGAACTAAAATAATCCTGTACATCAAACAGTCTTGGGATGTGTTTTCATGTGTTCATAATCCCGATGGGAATCATCATGGAGCTGTGATGGAGGATGAGGGAGGAATGGAATTGAAGCAAGGTGAGCTAATTCGCTTGCGATGCAGTCATTTCCCTGTGTCAGCGGAGCACAGTCCAAGTTCGTGGTACATCTTAAAAATAAAAACCCATTTTTTTAACTGCTGATTACATTTGCAGAAAACACGTCAGGAATTGGTCTGTTGTTTTCCTCACATGCTGGTGATGTTACTGGCTTTCTCTAAGCAATTTTTTTCCTTCCCTTTCCCACTCTGAGCACTTTTCCACTTGTTCTGTCGGTCGCCAGTTTCTGAAATGAATTCCCGTAAACTGACGAGTAAATTGTTGTTGG